GTGCAATAAATATCAAACCATTTTTGATTGACACAATATATTGCACAACCTTTCAATTCGTAACATAGACGATCAATATTATTGTACAAAACTGAATATTGCACAATAATATTGACCGTGTAGGGGTCGCTTAAATCCGGGGAATGCTTGCTATCATTGAGAGCCAAATCGTTTGTCTACCGGTCTCATGCCGATAGAGGGTTCTTACGTAAGTAGAAGTAGCTCCGTAGTTTTCTACGTATTTCTTAAATCTTCAGCAGTTTATGTAATATTAGTGTCAGTAAATAAATAGTCAGTTTTATCCCTATATAATTTGCATTTACTTTATAGGCACGCAATATATAATAATTACTGATATTCTAAACTCCTAACTATGTTACACAATCCGCCATATTGATTTTGACGTGACTATTTCTTTCTTGCTTACCGATACAATATTATATTATTTATTTCCTAATTGATGTAATATTTTGTTTAACTTGCTTTTCTCAAAAATAGATAGTTAGGTGCTAACCTTTCTGTGTTTTAATAGAACATAAGTACAAAACCTTAGGCTTATGTAGTGCTGAGCAATTTCAAATACGTGTAAATTGAGGTTATAGTTTTGAATATTTTTAGTGTAGAAGTGTGTATTGTGAGTTGTGCCTTAAAATAAATAGATCTGTTTGTGGACTAAGTGATAATTTTTAAGTTAAATATTTTAGTGAATTCATCTCCTTTCCATTGATTTCTATCAAACCCAACAGAGTAGGTGCCTGTGCCCCATACACCTGAAGATGAAACTGGATCCGGTTTTCAAAATGTCATATACATTTTAACCTTGGACGATGGTCAAAGTCCAAAAACTCAATAAATCTGACTACTTATGTAATCTATGGTAGATTTAAGCAGTTCAGATGAAATTTCATCATAAAATGTTTTAACTTGAGAGAATTCATTATATTTTTAATTTCATCTGGTGTAATATGCATAAAATGGAAATGAGTTCAGAATTGCTTTAGTCAAGAACTTTGCATCTTTGGTTACTGGGGTTACAGTACCATTATTATTTCTACTATCATTAAAAAGTTGGTATTAAAAGAGTTAGCTTTTTCTTTATTGGTGGACTTTCATTGTCTGTAGATTCCTAACCAGTTTCCTTTTTTACAATTTTAGAAACAGTCTTTACTTTATTATGCAACTTGGTGTAATAGTTGCACTGAAACAATATTCTATGACTTATTTGAAGTTTTTGGTTTAGTCTGCACATGAACTTATTTTCTGTTACAGATGGCTGTAGAATATCTACATCACATTGATTCTGCAATGAAAGAGGTGCAGTATAATATGAAATACGAAGAGCTATTTGCACCTGACGTCGGACCAGAAAATCCCCTCCAAACAAGACATCAACAAACCCACAAAAACATGCTCTCTGGATTTGTGGAAGAAGCACACATAAATGACTTCCAGTTTGAAAATCAGCGCAGGATTTTCAATAGTTATGGTATGAAGAGTGTGTGTTGTTCAATAAGTTATTAAATATAAAAGTGCTGGCTATGGTAAATTAATGTTCATTCTGGGATCATTAAGCATTTAACTCATAAATTTATTTTTGCATCTTTTATGATGCTTTATATATAACGCCTCTTTGGGAATGGCAGTAACAAATAGAAATTAAATTCATGAAGATATTAAGAGATTTTAATTTGGGCAGCGCTTGTGTGCCTGTAGGCCCTTATTCAGCATATTGAAATCTATCCTCCATAAATGGAGGAATGTATGGAAGTATCAGCAATAAGTTTAAAAACAATCCACTGTTCTTTGTTAAAGGATATGCTCTGGATCCCACAGTTGGATGTTCTCCTGATGAAGCAGCAAAGAAAGCCGAAGGGAAAACGGTTTTTGAATCGACCAAGGAACGGCCCTCAGTCAAGAGGAAGCGTAGGAGAAAAGACAACCCATCGGATGTTGAAGGATTTCTGGGACCATGGGGGGGGGTTACATTGATGAGAAGAGGGTTATGAAACCTAGTGAAGTAAGTTGATGGTTTGGATATAGTAGAAAATAAAAAAGTCAGGTCCTTAATTTTCCTGAATTATCTTTTTGGCACAGTTTGAAACAAAAGTGGTGTGATGCATTTTAGGTTTGTGGTGTATGAGAGATATTTGTACTACTTCCTCATGATATATGTGTTTATAACATGTGAACATATTCAGGTTGTGATGAATCATTAGTTATCATCAAACCAACATTTTTGCGTGGTTGCCAAGATTGTATTTTCATTTTACTAAATAATTACTGAAACAGAAGTTGCGTAATAAGAAAATAAGTACACAAACAAGCTCGTTTTGTATTCATACAATCAACATTTAATGTGTTGAATTATGTATAATATACATATAATGCAGTGTAATGATTTAATGATTCTTGGCACTGCGGACAGTATCACTACAAGTTTGTAGGTCTAGGCATTGATATACAGTTGGAATAAAAATATGTGTTGTTGTTAAATGCACCTGCAAGTGCACATTTACTGAGCAAACACCCTTCTGTCGTGTTAGAAAATCGTGTTCTGAAGTTGGTATCTTCTTATAAATTATAGGAGGAAGCTGTTGAGTTGGAAGAAATTCTCGCAAAACGACAAAAGAGAGGAAAGCAGGTGGATAAACCTCTGGAGGAGAAGACAGTATTGCACAGTAAGAATAATATAATTGTTACACATGTAAATTTATGAGGTCTTGAGTGAAGCAGAGCAGACGTATAACTCACATGTTCTTATCATTAGACTAGATGGATGTCAGTGGGTAACGTCACTACAATTATTCAGCATACAGTTTGGATGTTTTTAAATGGAATAAATACTTTTCTAAACTTAATACATTATTTGTAATTGCTTTAGCCATAGTGTGTGTTGCATTGATATGTATTGTTTGCTTTCTTTTTCAGTCAAAGATACGGTGGATTACCAGGGTCGTTCGTTCCTCCACGCTCCGCAAGATGTGGGCGTAAATCTGCGATCTGATTCACCTCCAGAGCGGTGCTTCCTTCCAAAAACACAAATTCATACTTGGCAAGGTCATACCAAGGGCATCTCCAATGTCCGTTGGTTTCCGAAGACAGCGCATCTGTTGTTGTCCTGCAGCATGGACTGCAGTGTTAAGGTACCATGGCGATAGCGATAATACCTTGATTTTGTTATACAGGATGCGGCAGAATACATTAGACGATTTAAATTTGTGAAATGGGTAATTTATTTTCAGTTAATATAATAAATACTTAGAGATTTGTGAAGTTTGTAGAATAGCGTGCTATGTGGTAACTACTTTTTAAAGACAACAACAGTCAGATGAGCACCATTGTTCTGCAAACAATCCTCTGTATGTCACCTGAGAGAGCCCGTTGTCTTCCTCAGCATTTCCACTGGAATTTGCATCATGGTAGTGCCGATGGCTTCCTCCAACTAGTCAATGGTGTGAGGTCGATTCTCGTAGAAATTGTACTTTAAATATCCCCATAAGAAGTAGTCACACGGGGATAAATCTGGCGATCGTGGAGGCCAAGCGACATCACCATATCTGGAGATGACACGTCCTGGGAACATTTCTCGAACTGTTTGCATTGAGATTCGTGCCATGTGAGATGTCGTGCCATCTTGTTGAAACCATACTAAGCGTATATCATTGTGGCGTCGGCGTAGTTCTGGCAGAAGAAATTCATTGAGCATGGCCGCACAACGCTCAACAGATACCGTAACTGCATGTCCGTTGTTGTCTTCAAAAGAGTATGGTCCTAAAATGCCAAATGAACTGAGTCCACACCATACTGTGACCTTCTGGCTATTCAAAGGTGATTGATGCAGTAAGCACGGGTTTTCTTCTGCCCAGTACCTGAAATTCTGCTTATTAACATACCCTCTTAGATGAATCATTACTTTTAAAAAAAGCTCTCCACAGCAAATACACGAAAATCACACGACCAATGCTACGTGGCGACTAATAGGCTTTGAACTGCTCTAGACACAGCCACAACAATCAGCGCGCTATCTACTGGCGTATGCATTTGACGCCAATTTCAAATCGTCTAATCAATTCTGCCGCAGCCTGTACATAACCATGTCTACTATTTTTGGATTTTAGTCATCATAGTTATGATGTTGTGTAGCCTTGTAGATGGCACCGCTTAGAAGGCCACTTCATGGAATCAGCAAATGTGATGTGTCTCCCATTTCTGTTCTCTGTCACATATTATTTTATGATTCTGCCTGTTCATTGCGAGCAGACTGATGAGGAAGGCTCTGCTGGGTGTGCCGTGAGTTGATATGCTTAGTCCTTGTAAGTTTCTTCTCTTTTCCCTGTGTAATGTGGTTTGGCACAAAAGTGGTTTGGAAATGAAGAAAATGCTATGTAGTGTTTGTGTATTGTTTCAGTTATGGGAAGTGTATAATGAGCGTCGTTGCATCAGAACGTATTATGGCCATCGGCAGGCAGTGAGAGATGTTTGTTTTAATAATGCTGGCACACAGTTCCTGTCAGCAGGTGAGTAATACTGGCAAACATATATCATATATTTATTATAGGAGTCATTAATAAGTTCTCAAAATTATGCACTTTTACAACATTAGAGTGTAAATAGTAACTTTGAGTAAGTTTGACTTTCTTTGCTATGAAACTTTGGTCAGAAATGTTTTTTTTATTGTCATTTAATGTTGCCGTCATTATTAGGAGCATTCAAAAATGCAAGGTTCAAATAATGCATGTGAAAACTGTGTACTTGGTGAAGTTTGCATCTTTTTTAGACTCATTTATTTGTGGTGAGACAGGGAACAACATGTTGTCTGTCTTATGAACCGCACATTGGCTAGTCTCTTGCAATTGTTATATTATCCTGTGTGTCTTGAGACTATGATTGAAAATTAGGTTTATGATTCTTAGGATTTTAGTATAACTGATCATCTGGAAAAGTCCTTTGGGTGAGTGTCAGAATGATCGCTGGTTAATATGATTCCAAGACCCATGTAAAGTACATTATAAATAATTACTTTGTACATATAATAGTAATCATTTTGTATGTTTAGGATATGACCGATACATCAAGCTGTGGGATACAGAAACTGGTGGGTGCATATCTCGCTTCACAAGCCGCAAAATTCCGTACTGCACAAAATTCCATCCAGATGAGGACAAACAACATCTGTTTGTTGCTGGAACATCAGACAAGAAAATCATCTGCGTAAGTCACTGAAATATTTATATTGTAACGTGGGTTGGTAGTTACGACCTTGATTGTCAACTCTTGATTTATTCACGTTAAATTAAATCAGATACAGAGGTCTACACTGACAGGCAACTCTCTACTATAACAACAGTATCTGAGTGTCTGTTCTCTGCTCTTAACGCGCGCGCCCACACTCGCACCGTCCTTCGAGCCTATCTGGTCCCCCGAACTCGGCGCTCTTCACATACGCAAACACATCGGCCCATAGCACCCCACTGGACACACGCTGGCTCATCGGCCGCCACGGTCCACGTACCCGGTGCTCTCGATACGCAGCCTCCTGCCCTCAGCATCCTCACTGGACACACGCTGGCTCCTCGGCCGCCACGGTCCACAAACCCAGTGCTCTCACACGCAGCCGACCTGTCCTTACCCAGCGCCACACCAGACCGCTCGTTGGCTTCTCTCTCTCTCTCTCTCTCTCTCGCTCGCTCTCCAGCATCTTGGCGCAGTTAATACGATCACATTTGTAGATCAGAATCGGAGATTTGTTACAACTTCTGATGATAAAAGTCTTCGTGTGTGGGAGTGGTAAGTTCTTGAGTACAATGACTGTCTAACAGATCCTAAGGTTTCTTACTGTCGGCTAGACCCTAGGCATTGAGGTATTTGTATTTCTCAGACAATTTAAGCAATAACATTCTTGCATTTGCTTGTAGCTTATGCATAACTGACATAGCCTCCTTTGCCCCTTCATGGTAGGGATAATAAACACATTCAGAGTCTTAATTCTAAAATATAAACAGAAGAGACCCACATGGAAATATAGGTGAAGATGGGAGGATAATATTAAAATGGTTAATTCATGAGGAAAGATGGTGAGACAGGATTATATAACTGATTTTACAGTGAGAGTGTTGCTGTTGAATTAACAACAGCAGTGCATCAATATTTGGCAAGTTCATTTTGACATTTTCCATTTCTCTCAAACACTAACAGTCTCTACTGGGGGTTTCACAGCATGCAACATCGACATTGTAGGGTGAGTCAGCAATAGGATCACGGCTTCTTTTCTTCAGAGAATCAAGTTTTTCTAAAAGAAATACACAATATTTCGTGTATAAAAAAACACCCCAATTTTGGATGGTAATTTTTATCGCAAATGCGGTATTTACTTGTATTTGTTTATTGTAAAATGTCTGTTCCAGGGACATTCCAGTGGATATGAAGTATATAGCCGACCCCACAATGCACTCAATGCCTGCAGTGACGCCATCACCAAACCAGAAGTGGCTGGCTTGTCAGAGTATGGACAACAAGATTGTAGTATATTCAGCTCAAAATCGCTTTAAGATGAATCGCAAGAAAACCTTCAGTGGACATATGGCAGCTGGTTACGCATGCACTGTTGACTTCTCACCTGATATGAGGTTTGTCTCATTGACTATATGTGATGGTACGGCATGAAAAGAAGTACATAACAGTAACAAGGATAAAAACATAGAGGACTAATATTTGGGAGCTGACTATATTGAAATTCTCATTTTGTGACTCTCTAGGAGTGGGGCAGCAAATTTAAACTTTAAATATCAATAATTGAAGACTAGTGTAATAGGAGTGGATTTCCAGAAATTAAACTGAAAATTAAGAAGAGGAATGTTATATGGGCACACTACTGTATTTGAAGCTTATTTAAAATATGTTACTAGTTTATACATATTAGAGTTTGGTTCTTGTGCTCTAAATCTGCTGAATTTGATTTAGCTGAAGAACCAACTTTGACTCCTTCATATTTAAATGATTATTTTATATTTATAGTTACTTGCTTAATCATTTATAGTTATTATAAAATAGTATGGACTGGATCTATAAAATAGAATTGAAACAAAATTTCAAGTTATTTATATGATCGTAAAACTTAATTTCAATCATAAATTAATACATTTCAGTGCTTGTTGAAATTAAATTATCTTTTAATCTTTATCATATCACCATTAACCTGTCTGTTTCATTGCAGCTACTTGGTGTCAGGAGACGCTGATGGAGAGTGCTACGTGTGGGACTGGAAGACGACAAGATTATACAAGAAGTGGAAGGCTCATGACAGTGTGTGTATTGGTGTGCTGTGGCATCCACATGAACCCAGTAAGCTTGTTACTGCTGGATGGGATGGTCTTATCAAGTACTGGGATTAAATTTTGATATATATATTGTATATTCCTGATCATTTGACATCATTCATTTGTAAATATATGCCAAGTGCCATGAATGATTATGTTGACAGAAAATTCACGTAAAGTGCTTGTATTATAACTGAAATGTCTAACATTTTTAATTGCTACATATTTATGTGTTCACTAGTCAGAGAAGTAATAAATCATGTTAGTGGTAACAGCAAAATTAAGTGTTTCATATCCAAAGACTACCAGTTGCTGCTGCAAATGCTTATGTTATGAGGTCTGACACAACAAATAAGAAGACTAATGCTGTGACTAGACTACTAGTAATAGTAAGGGGAAGTAGGCGTACCATAGTTGACCTTGATCTATCCTCCACCAGTGATGCAAGTTTCAACTTGATTGCTTCGTTCAGTAGCAGTGAACAAGAGTTTCTGTAGCTGTTTTTGAGTCATTTTGAATTCTTGTTGCAAAATTTACAGCATGTATCAAATTATATGTTGCTAGTAGTGAGTTTAAATGTTTTGTCCGGCAGTTTTCATTTAGATAGTCTACATTCATTTCGTCACAGATTAAAAATTGAGTTTTTGGATTATACAGATACTTTAGAGTAGCATCTAGTCCCCTTATAAATTGTTGAAAATTACCTGATAGAGCTCTGTACAGGCTTAATACAACTAAGTTAGGTGTAACAAGACCATGCGAAAAAATGAGCTATATAACCTATATTCTGCTACTGAAACCCAAAGAGAAGATCTACAAAATTGACCTCTTGGAAGAATACGGCCATACAGTTGTTAGACTACCTCCACAAACGTGCGATTTAAATCCCATAGAACTTGCATGGGCGAAAATAAAGAGAATCGTGCATGAAAACGACGTCACAGGAGATCTGAGTCTGCGAAAATTAACACGAGTGACGACGGAAGACTGGGAAGAGTTTTGTAGACGCACAGAAACAGTCGAAAGCCAATATTGGGAAAGAGACGGCGTCCTTCCAGATGTGATAGAGTCTATCACATCTGCTCTAATTAATTATTACCATCCCATTGACGTCCTGGTCTACCAAGAACCTTTAGTCTTTAAATATTCGATTTAAATTCTGTTCTGCACCATCCATTTTATCGCGCTACATCCCTTTTCGGGTCTTGACTTCCACTGACTGCACAATTCCTATTTGATCCCGATTTGACTGCCAGTGAATCAGGAGACTTGGGTAAGAAATGGCTGCTGAATTTTGCTTATGAAACATCTCATATGTTCGTAAGGTTCTTCTACATGTCGTAAATGTACGACATGGGACCGCCGGCTTTGCTTCCTCCTCCGAAGGAAACCGTGCTACGGATTTTTATCACCGAAAATCCATCGATCCATTGTAAATATAGAGTGCCCAAAAAACTGTTAACTAACAGTTTCACAAAAATATTTTGAGACATTTGTGATTGAATAATTGTTGCCATCTTATTGAATTGTGGGCACTGAAAACGCACAAAAAACAAAATATTTTTGAAAGAAATCACTTTCAAAATTTTTTTCAAAATTTTCAAATTTTTTGGTTTCGTGCTCTTTTTAGGCAACTAGAGCAGAGCGCTCCTTTCGGTAAAGTTTGTAAAATGCAGCAAACCTTGTGTAAGAAACTAAACTAACCCCCCTCAAATTGAGGCTTGGTTGCGTTTTAAAATCTTAAGTAACACGCTAAACTAACTCCCCTTCGGGGGGTTAGTTTAGTGTCTCATTCAAGTGTTTAAACCCCTGAGTAAAAAACTAAACTTTCTTACTCAGGGGTTAAAACACCAACCTTGTGTAAGAAACTAAACTAACCCCCGAATGGAGGGTTAAATCACTTGACCAACCCCCCTTCCTTCAAGGGGGTTAGTTTGGTGTTTCATTCAAGTGTTTTAACCTGTGAGTAAGAAACTAAACTAAAATGTATCACTTTTTATACTGTCCAGGACTTTTATCCATAATTTTGTTTTGAACCACATGTAGGTGAACCAGTCTTCAATTCTATTGCAGAAAATGTGTCGCTATTTGTTTTAGGCAGTGTCCCGCCTTTTACCGTAACATGATTAAAATAGGCAAATGTGTCACCTTCAATCAAGTGAAGGGTATATTTGAGTTTGGTGACAGTGATGTAATTGGAAAGATTAGCTTTCCAGCAGTTCAGGCTGCACCTTCATTTTCGAGCTCATTTCCCTTCATTTTTGGAAAAGCAAATTTACCCTGTCTCATTCCCTGTGCCATAGATCAGGTAAGTGTAAATGTGGGTTACATAATTTATAAGGGTCATTTCCAAATCTCTGAGTCTCAGATATTGTTAGAAATGTTAGGAGCAAACAGTTACAAGTTCAAAATGTGAATTAAGTTTTTTGCAAGTTCTGTGTTAAAAAATTGTGGTTGAATCAATTTTTGTGAAATTTAATATTGACTGCCCTTAATAAAGTAAGTGTTCTTTGTTGCATTATGGTTCGTTATGAACAACTCAAACTT